TTGGACACGTCAAGAGGAGGGACAGTGGGTTGGACACGTCCAGAGGACGGACAGTGGTTTGGACACGTCCAGAGGAGGGACAGTGGTTTGGACACGTCCAGAGGAGGGACAGTGGTTTGGACACGTCAAGAGGAGGGACAGTGGGTTGGACACGTCCAGAGGAGGGACAGTGGTTTGGACATGTCCAGAGGAGGGACAGTGGTTTGGACATGTCCAGAGGAGGGACAGTGGTTTGGACACGTCCAGAGGAGGGACAGTGGGTTGGACACGTCCAGAGGAGGGACAGTGGTTTGTACACGTCCAGAGGAGGGACAGTGGGTTGGACACGTCCAGAGAAGGGACAGTGGTTTGGACATGTCCAGAGGAGGGACAGTGGGTTGGACACATCCAGAGGAGGGACAGTGGTTTGGACATGTCCAGAGGAGGGACAGTGGTTTGGACATGTCCAGAGGAGGGACAGTGGGTATATTGGTAGAAGGATGTTAGAAATGCAGCTGCCAGGAAAAAGACAAAGAGGAGACATATGATGCAGTTAGAGAGGACATGGAGGTAGTTGGAGTGAGGACAGAGTGAGGACAGAGGACAGAGTGAGATGATGGCGGATGAGTCGTTGTGGTGACCCTTGAAGAGAAAAGCTGAAAGATGAACAGGTGGTCCTGTGGTCATGAGAGCCTGTGGTAATGTGGTCATGTGACTGCTATCACCTGTAGATGAAGACAGCAAAGGTCAAGGCCATGGTGAAAATGAAGAAGACTACAATGAAGACCATCTGATGGATGGTGATGGTCTCTGATAGCAACACAGAAACATAAATAGTGATTAGGTATTGATCAAGTGATGATTAGGTATTGATCAGGTGATGATTAGGTATTGACTTGTGAGGCAGAGGGGGTTGTCGTTCTTGAAGCCACAGACAGGAACATCAGGAGGAACTTTTCCACTGAGCCAGTGCAGAACTGTTCCAGGCACAGCTGTCAGCTGCTCCTCAAAACTGTTGTAGACCAGAACAATCTGTAAGAAAACAAACACTTCATGAGTTCCTGAGCTCAGTTTCTTCTGAACGTCCTTGATTCCTCTTCTATCATCTTCACATCTCCATCAGAATCAGAATCTTTACTGACGTTGCAACAATGACATTTTGTACAGTGACATTAAGGTGCAATCCTCCAGTGTGAATAAGACACATTTTCTCCATTAAAACTGATATAAAATATATAGAGAACAAAAAGTAAACTAAATACCAAATATCAAAATAGTCCGTAACTGTTTTCTGTTCGCGTCACATCAATTCAATACAATTCAGTTTATTTATACAGCGCCAAGTCACAACAGAAGTCGTCTCAGGCACTGAACAGAAACATTCATCTATAAAATAATAATTGAACAGAAACATTCATCTATAAAATAATAATTGAACAGAAACATTCATCTATAAAATAATAATTGAACAGAAACATTCATGTATAAAATAATAATTGAACAAAAACATTCATGTATAAAATAATAATTGAACAGAAACATTCAAATATAAAATAATAATTGAACAGAAACATTCATGTATAAAATAATAATTGAACAGAAACATTCAAATATAAAATAATAATTGAACAGAAACATTCATGTATAAAATAATAATTGAACAAAAACATTCATGTATAAAATAATAATTGAACAGAAACATTCATCTATAAAATAATAATTGAACAGAAACATTCATCTATAAAATAATAATTGAACAGAAACATTCATGTATAAAATAATAATTGAACAGAAACATTCATGTATAAAATAATAACTGAACAGAAACATTCATGTATAAAATAATAACTGAACAGAAACATTCATGTATAAAATAATAATTTAACAGAAACATTCATCTATAAAATAATAATTGAACAGAAACATTCATGTATAAAATAATAATTGAACATTATTTATCTGAGGAGCAGCTTTGAGTTTAACTCCATCACTGAACTCTCTTAATGGTGAACTAAAGTTCATTAAAAAAGTAAAAAGTAAAAAAAAAGTAAACCATGGGAAAAAGCTGCAACAGACATTACAGGCCCATTTGAAAATGCTACATGGGACTGCCATTACACTATAACAGAGTTCCTGCACAACTATTGAGCTACTCCTCATGCAACCACAGGAACAACTTCATTTGAGCTACTGAGAAACAGAAATGTGCACAAAGTTAAACATACTCCCAGTATGTATGTTGTTCAGTGTCAGGAGGGTGATCATTCTTACATCGGGGAA